GAATGAATGAAAACCCCAAATCTCTGTAAATGTTCATTAAAACTAATAAAATTTAATAAAAAATAAACAAACAAACAAAAAAAACCTTGGTTTTTTCTTGCTTTAAAATGAAATTGATGATGTGCCATGTCTATTATAAGGATTAAATGAGTTTATAACCCTTACCAGTGCCTGGCATTTAATAGCTTCTGAATACATCATAGCTCTGCTCTCTAAGCTTTTAACTTAAACTGACAAAAATAAATTAAATTTTGGATACTGGACAGGGGTTGTGGTTAAGGAGGGGAGAGTAAGGATGTGCATTTGTGAATGGCCTATTCTGGAATCTTCAAGTTGGTAGGAAGGTGGTGAGGCTTCTAGAGAGGCAGTGACCGCTCATACGTGACACTCCGTACTTGTCCGGTGCTGTTTCAGCTGCAGTCCACACTGCAAGTGAAGATGAATGTGGAAAATTAGGCAGGCAGGCCAGGTGACATCTCACTAATGCCTTTAGGAATATAATTATATCTTTGATTACTAATCCAGACACTGAGAAGGCCAAATGGAACATAATAGTATTTTTTTAACATATTATGGAAAGATGGACTGTCTCAGTGAAGGCCACAATTTGAATATTTATGTGCAAATGATATAACCATAAATAGGAAAGCTTGTCAAACCAGTGCCAACAAAATAGGTAATGAATTAGGAAAAAAATCCATATATAACTACCTCCAGGGTAAAGCCTTTCTCTCTCTTCCTCTAACCATCTTTATTTTCTGAGTCCTGCCTTTAATGACACATGACTTGGTCACCTGGCTCTTGGAAAGGAATTTTCATCTGAGAGGTGAATTAATCACGTCCTTTCATTTTCAAAGTTGCCCTGAGGGAGCAGTTTGCCCTTTATGACTTGAATTTTTGTTTCTTAACAAAACTGTTTAACGCAAGGATTGTATCTCAACTTTATTAAGGTGTAATTTATATGTAATAAGAGAAACACATTTTAAAGTACAGTGTGTTGAGTTTTGATAAATGTCTGTTAACTGACACATCAATTGAAATACTAAACATTTTCCGTTACCCAAGAAACTTCCCTCAGGCCCTGTTTGCAGTATGTCAGTCCAGGCAGTCATTAATCTAGTTCCTAATACTGCAAATTTGTTTTCTGTTCTTGAACCATATGAGTGTCATTGTATTACATCTTCTCCCCTCGTCCTGTTACTGTCTGTCTTCTTTTGCTCAGTGTAATGTGTGTATCATCCTAAACTTTAATGGAATTCTTCATTTCTCCCCTTGTGTCATTTAATAATTTGCTTTGTAACTGTAGAATTATGCTTCACCATCCATGTAAGTAACTATAAACTAGGGAAATACAATTGCCTTTTCTTTTTAATATTTCCTGTGGTGGAACAAAGACAATTGCTTAATAAAGTCTAGATTTAAAGAGGAAAAAAAAAGAAATCTGATGAAAAGTTAGAATTAGAACCCTACCTGCTGCTATTATTTTAGTATGCTGAATTTACTTGGCATGCAGTTCAAATCTACCAGCAGCTCTATGTGAGAAAGATGAATAATCCCCTTGGAAAATGTACTGCCTCTGAAAACCCACTGCAGGCCCAGCTATGAATCAGTTCCGACTCCATAGCACATAACAAAAACATTCATGTGTGGATGTAGCTTTTGATACTGGGTTCTGTTCAGTTGACTCCAATTCGTAGTGACCCTATGAAGAGCAGATCCCTATTGTACATCCATCACCCTCACAATCTCCACCAAACCCAAGCCCACTTTTGGAGTCCGTGTTGATCCATCTTGTTGAGAGTTGAGAGGGTTTGTTAACTCTGTTTTCCCAAGCAATATAGACATTTAGTACTGTTGAAAAGGAAACGTTAACTTGGATATCTGATTTTTTGAAGGTTTTGTAATCTTTATTAACAAAGAGATGATACAGCATGATTATATTTTAATATCCACTTGTCCAGTAATTTCATTGCCTTTGATTTACTGACTGTGTCCCTCCCTGGTGTTATTGAACACCTTGTAGGCATGTGTGGTATTTAGTTGAAAGTTGACTTAAGGGGGTTATTTCAGTCTTAGGCTTGAAGGGTGAGAAAGAGACATAGTCTTGTAGGTTCAGTCACCCTCTAGACTAGCAATCAGTCCTTCGATTTTTGAGTTTGGCTTTACATTTTTCTGCATTTATTTGTGATCCCTTTTCAAAGTGATCAGCAGTGGTAGCCAGGTACCATTTTTTTCGTCAGAAAGTCATGGAGAATGAAATTCACATGACTCATTAGGTTTTTGGAATTAAGAGTTTTTATTTGTCCTGTTCTTTGCTCTGAATGAGAAGAGAGTAATAGTTATATTTGAATTCTTACCCATAAACTTTTATGATCGCTACTGCTACTTATCAAAGTAGGATGTAGCAGTCATGCCAATTTACTTTGATGTCCCCTGAGACCTTGATGTTGAACTTCTAGGACCAGTGACTTATTCCCTTAAAGTATTTGGTTATGGCTGCAAAGTTATTACTAAGGAAGAGAATTGCATAGAGCAAAACATTCATGACAGAACCTGCTTTTTTATGTTATTCTGGATATATCATTCAGGGATTTTAGTTTACATATCACTGATCAGAACAATGATATGCTGATACCCCTGGCTGAAAAGAAATCCAGAATGTGTGTGTGTGTGTGTGTACACACACACATATGGTTGTATGGTATGTCTGGGCCTTGTTTGAAGGTCATTTTCTTTTGTTGGAAATGTCAAATATGACTTGCTGTACTTGCTCCACAGGCTTCTTTGTGAAGATAAAATGGATGAATATTTACTACATTTCATAATATAATATCAGGCATATCTTTTTGATGGCATAAAGTCACACATGTATTTTACGATACAAGCTAGCCTTTAGTTTAAGAACACCCATTCCAGATTTCTGCTAATGTTATTTGTATCAAGTCAATCCTATGACCAATCACCCTTAACTCCATCCTATCCTGGGCCAGTCTCACTGCCTCTGACACACCTGCCTCCATTGGCCCAGTCATTGTATCAGTCCATTTCATCTGGGAATCTTCTTTGCCTACACTAATCCTCCACCCTTCCAAGCATGTTGCCCTTCTTGAAGGACTGGTCCCTCTTGAAAACATGCCCAAATTATGTGAGATGGAGCTTTAAAATCTTTGTCTTTAAAAAGCAAGATACAGTAACAGTCTACCTATAAGGTAGCATTCCTTCTATAACTGTTGTTGTTGTTGATGATTGTTATCTAGTTAAGTATGACTCATAACAACTCTGTGAACAAAAGACCTAATGTCTTTCCATAGCTATAGTCATTTCTTCAAGTTCATAGTTTTCAGAGGCATGTGGTTTAGAAGTGGATGCCACTCCTGCTTCCAACCCTGTTTTACAACTGGGAGCTCCAACAAACACTGTCCACATTGGGAAACCATTATTGTATTTGATACCCCAATGGCACAAGTTTCAGCATCACAGCAAACCCAGTTTACTTCATACAGCACATTGACAAAGAGTGATGTACAAAGTGGAAGAATGTTCCTCCAGATATCACATTAGTCTCACTTAGCAGTAGTTAAGTGCTGTCAAGTCGGATAAAACTCATATGACATTTGCACAAAAGACCTGATCTCTGTTCTAGAACCAACATCATTTCTGTACATTTATAGAGTTTCTAGAGGCATCTAGTTGAAAAAGTGGATGCCATTCCTGCTTCCCAACTTGAATCAATCTGGAAGCTCTTCCAAACATTGTCCATGATGGGTAACCATTACGGTATTTGACACAACTATGGCACAGTGTTCAGCATCACAGCAACTCCAAGTTATTTAGTACAGCAAATAGACAAACAATTGCTTTATCTCTTAAAGAATATTCATTCTAAAATTAATATATTAGGTTTGAGGGACTACGGGATTTTAAAGATAGGATATAATCTATATGATAAAGGGGTGTTTACAGAATCAAAATATAGTAATTAATAATTAAGAAATAAGTTCAACTGACATCCGCTTTTGGGGAGAGGCAGTAACACACATTAAACACAACCTCAGAAACTTCCCTTACGTGACCACCATCAAGATGTGACCACCATCAGATGCTAGGAGCCAACTGGTAGAGTGGAATCTCCAGGCCAGCCTGCCCTTTCTATAACTACCTACCTCATAATTCAGCATTTGGTGAAATAATGTTAAGCATTTTCATACTAATGTAAGTTGGTGAATGAAATTGTGGTAGTGAGTGGGAAGGAAGGAGTATAAACATCAATAATTTTAAGTATAATGTAGATTAGATAAGTAAACTATAAAGTGATAAGAGTATTCATGAGATATAAATAACATATGAATTGTTTGGGAAAAGGATACTAGAAAAATTTAGAAAGATATATCATGGTTATTGACTGTTTCCAGTGTTTATTTTGGTGCTTTGGTAACATTATTCATAGAGAAATGTTCTGGTAACCTAGGTGTGGTATCCACCAGCTGCTCAAAGTTCAGATCCAGCATCATCTCCACAGAAGAAATAGGGGCTGTCTTCTCTTGTGTGATTTACAGTCTTGGAAACATGCTGTAAAATCATCTAGGAGTTGGCTCTGACTTTATGGAAATGGAAAAAAGATATCTTTGCTAGTTCCTTAGTAAATATTAATGAATAGTTTTGTAATATTTTATATATTGTTGACATTGAAATGTGCAAATCAAAGTCACATGTTTTAGAAAATAGTAAACTGTTACATATAGAAATTTTCACAAAAATGCACAAAATTCTACAGTTTTTCTGCTATCGAGTTGGATTTTGTTGAGGTAAGCATCAGAAGTGAATTTTGCTTTATATGCATAATTTTCTGCATATTTATTGACGTAAATGTTAACACTACTTAAAATTAAGAATTGTTAAACTATGTAGAGCTCATGTAATTTTAAAAATTTCTGTGACATGTAATAAGAATATGTCTTGGAATTTTGTGCATCTGTTTTTCTTTCTTTGTCTCTCTTCAGTGAGTTACCAGAGAGAGAAGAAGGTGAAGGAGAAGAAACTCCAAACTTCAGCCACTGGGGCCCACCAAGAATGTAAGTGGAGGGCATTGCAGGCTTTCTCAACTAGAATACATTCAACTGAGCTTTTCTTCAGCTGAATATGAGGCCATTCAGTCATATACCAGTGCTTGAAAAATTGTGTAAAAACATGTGGACTGACTTGCATTTTAATTTCATTTTGTCTTATTTAGAGATTTTTGTGCTGACTGATATTAGATCCAATACTAGAAAAAATTTATTACATATTTCTTCAAATAATCAGTTTATATTCCATTTGTAAATGTCCAATTCAGATGGTAACTGGTACTAAGAATCATTTCTTTTCACATCATTAAGCACTGTAGGTGGATCTGACTTGAAAGAAAGACTTCACTTTCTATTTACTTATTTTGCCTTCCTCCCAATTGGCACCTTGTTTAAGTTAGCCTTTTGGGGGTCTCTCTTCCCTTTGTTGTAGTTTTATGTACTTAGCGCAGATATGCTGGTTCCTGTTATGCTTATTCGTTTCCTTCCAGCTACTCTTTCCTCCCCACCCCCTTGATATTACTTTCCTCTCCTTTGTTTCTATTCTTTTTGGGTTATTAAGCTCACTATCCTACTCTAGGCTGGTTTGTGATTTTCGTTTTGCTGTGTTTTGCAATTAAATTCTGGATTTTTGTAATAAAATTTCGAACAAGTAATTTTTAGTTACATTTAAAAATATAAGAAGAGACGTAGCAAAACACACTAATTCAACAGTTTATACTTGTCACTTAGTGACATTGATTAACTTCTTCAAAATCTGCAACGGTTCCGACCCTCTTTGTCCGAGATCTATCTTTTACGTTAACACAAATTAATTGTCCCCATGGGTTTCTAATTGTTCAAGTTGCTTTAGTCAATTTAATCCTATATCCACAGCTTGCAAGTTGATTCCTGCTTATAGCCACTCTGTAGGATGGAGTTTTATTGTTCCACAAGGTTTCTAATGCTGTGAATCTTTATAGGAGCAGATCGCCATATCTTTCTGCTGTGAAGCAGCCAGGGAATACAAACCAATGACCTTAGTAACCTAATGCTTAACCCAGTGTGCCATTAGAGCCCCTTATTCTCATATGCTATTTTTAAAAGAGTACAGTGCTCAAGGCAAACATTTTTAATTAAACTATTCTTTGGTATGAAGGAAAACTCCGGGGGCTTTTCCTGTTTTTGTGTAACATGAGCCATTATTATTACCTATCCCTACCACAAACAAAAACAACACATGCACACCAAGTCATTGCTGTGAAATGATGGTGATACTTTGTGTGCTGAGAAGAACTACCTACAGCTTGTCGTAATCACTTATCCATGTATGCAGCTCAGAAACTTGTTCCTCCATTACATTTTCCCTTTCCCACCCCCCACCCCCAGTAAACATGACATGGAGATAGGAATAAAAGAAAATCTATGGGAGCTGAAGAAGGTCTCTTTATGCATCAGGAATGACAGTATTCAATCTAGGCACTGAAAAAAATCACAGGTTGTCAGTTAGCTGGTGATTTTAATTTATTTGGAAAATCTGCTTTTGCTGAAGTGATATCCAAATGTTTCTTGTTTGTCTTTCCTGTTTTCCATTTCTTTCTCTAGTCTTTGTTAATGTTACAGATGTTCCGGTGGATGGGCTAAATGTACTAGGAAATTAAACATTAAAATGTTAAACCTAGCTAAGTCTTCTCTGAATATTCAGGGTTCTTTTTATTGATTTAGACATGTAATAAAGTAAACTTTCACATATGGTATGAATTATTGATAGCATCTTGATCTATTGATAGTTTTGGAGCTTGGCATGATTTATATGACATTTTTTACAAAGATATTTATAAAATGAATTTATATAAAACAGGGATAGCAAGGATAACTATATACCCAAATAGAATATTTACTGTGACTGTCCAACAAATTTATTTAAATTAACTATAAATGATTTTCCCCTTTTTATAGTGTTGAGATTTTTAGAGAACCTGATGTATCTCTTGGAATCAGTATAGTTGGTGGACAAACTGTTATAAAACGCCTAAAGAATGGAGAGGAACTTAAAGGGATATTTATCAAACAAGTTTTAGAAGACAGTCCAGCAGGAAGAACCAACGCTCTTAAAACTGGAGATAAAATACTTGAGGTAAATAATAAAATACTCTTTTGTTTGAAATAATAAAATAAGCTTTTAGAAGTTTTCTTATTAATAGATATATGTGAGTATGACTCATAATCTTTACTGGTACAAAATTAGTAAGTTTTTTTAGTATTGGATATACAACATAGTATAATTTTATGAGTGTCTTAGTGGCCTAATGCTGCCAACCCAAAGGCAGATGGTTCAAATCTACTACCTCCTGTGGAAGATAAAGATAGTCTCTTCTTGTGCCATTTACAACCTTGGCAAAAGGGTAGTCTCAGCTGTAAGTCAGTTCCAGTTTGACAACACACAGCAACAACAAATTGGATGCACAGGGGGTAGAAGGATCAAACTTCAGCTGCCTGAGAAATGAAAGTGATTTAGCAAAGGACTCTAAGCGGAATGGCACAGATAATGAGCATATTACTTTCCCTATAGTTACTGAATTTATCTGTCTATGTCAGCTGCATATTTGTGCTTATTTAAGGATCAGGACTTTGTTCTGAGAAGTTACAAACTCCTTTTGGGGAAAGTTGGAAGGATGGATCTGTTGCCCACAGTTTAGGCTTTCTGGGAGCTAAGTTTTAAACACACACTAAACTTACACATGTTATTAATGACAAAGTCAGAATTGGATTGCATTTATTTGCATTGGGTTTATTGGGTAAAACCCTATTTGGTATCTTCATTGCTGGAAACTATCTTGATTCATATTATATGACATTAGTTCAATAATATATGAACTCTTTTAGAGTGAAATGAATCCTATGGGGCATAGATACATTCTAGACTCTGGATGTCTGTTATTTTCAATTTAATCTTGGACAAAGTATCCAATTTTATACTCAGTATCAAAATTGTTGTTCTTAGCTGTTGTTGAGTTATGGACAAATTAATAACCCTAAAACAACAGATCTGAACCCTGTTGTATGCTGTGTCACTCTCATAATTTCTTAAAATCTTGAGTCCATTGGCTGCAGTCATTGTGTCAATCCATATAATTGAAAAACCTTCTTCTCTTTCTCCTACCCTTTGCCCTTCCAAGCATGATGTCCCTTTGCAAAGAATAATCTCTCCTAGCAATATGCCTATGGAAGACTAAGCTTTGTTGTCTCTACCTCCAAGGAACATTCCAGCTGCACTTTCTCTAAAACATATCTGTTCTTTTGACAGTCCATTCAGTATTCATTTCCAAGACTGCAGCTCAAAGGCATTAAGTCTTATCCTGTCATCCTTATTCATTATCCAGCTTTCAGATGCATAGCAAATGACTGAAAAGACCATGTCCTGAATCAGGCACATGTCCTGAATCTTTGTCCTCAAACTGATATTATTGTTCCTCAGTAATTTTGAGATCGCTGACTGCGAACTTGCACAATACTTCTCCTCAGCTCCTGACTGCTAGTAGCAAGAGTGTTGATTGTGGATTCATGTTTTATTTATTCATTCTAGTTTTGAATAGAAGAGAAATAAGAATTTAAAACTGATGTTTTTGAGGATAAAACCAAAGAATTATATAAAACTTCTCTGCATATACAAATGTTGAGATTTGTTTGTTAATTTTAATAAAAATATTTCAAGAACAGACAAAGAAGATAACTCATTATTTGAACAAAGACCTATCAGTTACTTTATATTATGAATTGTTTTTGACATAGTCACAGAAACAGTGAACTTAAAAATATAGGAGTAGTTGTGAAAATGCTGCAGGACAGGGCAAGATTCTGTTCCCTTGTACATGAACTTGTTGAGTTGGAAATTACTTGATAACACCTACAACAAAAATTTAAAAAAGAAAAAAAAAAAAGAAAAAATTTATTTAAAAAAAATTAAAAAAAAAAAAGAGTATAACAATAAGAAAAAGAAACAGTAGTCCTTCCCTTAGGAAGTTTACATAATAACAAGAGAGACCAATTATTACAAACAAACAAGTAATATATATATATAGATGTTAGACTGTAATAAATGACTATGGAGAAACACAAAGCAGAAGTTAAAGGCAGTAGATGTAATTTGAATAAAGCTAGAGAAGATAGATTTAGAGCAAGTACAGGAGGTGAAGGAGTGAGCCATTCAGATATATGAGCTGACTTGAAAGAGTTAATATGCATAAGCTCTGAAATTAGACATGTTTGGTTGTATTTAAGAGACAGCAAGATGTCCAGTGTCACTAGAGTTGAGAAAGAGATACCAAGAGATAGATGCAGGAGAGAGGTTGACAAGAAGTCTGACTGGTAGTATGAGATCACAACACAATGGAGTGTTAAAAGAATTATACTGGGTCTTCACACTGAATACAATAGATTATTTCAGCTTCTAGGGTAAGAGCATAAGTAGGAACCTCATATGAGAAACTTGAAGTGGAGGAATGGTGATGGCCAAGATCAGGGTGAAAACAGTGAAGAGATGCTCAGATTCTAGATATATGTTAAAGGTAGAATGCAGAATTTATTAACAGTTTGGATACAAGAAAGTATTAACAGTTTCACCCTTAGGAGTCACAGAACAAAATTTCTAGTTATTGAGATGGGGAAGGTTGTAGGAGAAATACATTTTAGGCATGTTACATTGGAATAAACTGAATTGATGTTAAATAGGTAGTTGAATAAACAGATTATGAGTTCAGTGTTTTTAATGATTCTTTTTGGTGGGTTTTTTTTTTTCTATTTGAGACAAATGTATGATTAAATCTTCTACTGTGATTAATGATGTATTAGTTATTCCTTGTAATTTTTCAGTTTTTGTTTCATTTAATAATTTTGTTTGGTACATAAAACTATTTAAGATCTATTGTTGTTGTTGTTGTTATGTACCATGGAGTCAGAACTGACTCATCACAGACCCTCCCGTGGATTTTCAGAGGCAGTTAATCATGTGGGAGTAGATTGCCCATCTTGCTCCCATAGGACAGCTGTAGGATTTGAGCTATTTGCCTTTGGGTTGGCAGAGCAACTCCTTACTGCTAAGCCACCAGAGTTCTTGTAAGATCTGTAGTTTCCTTTTTATCTCTATCATTTATTTTTTAAATTGTTACTGTATTAACATTATTAACCTAGCTCTTTTTTGGTTCATATCTGCATAGTATACTACCTTTCTCATTTTACCTTTATATGTGATTTTATTTCATTGAGGTTTTTGCTAAGCAACATAACAACAGGATTTTGGTTTTTATTCTAAATTGGTAGTCTTCATTTAGTAAATATTAAGTGATATTAAGTAAATTTTACTTGACAGCTGATATATTTGAACTTAACACTTAAGATCTATTTTCACCAGAAATTACAATATATGGGCATATTTCATAACATATACATGGTTTTGTCCGTCTGCATCTTCATTGTTGTTAACATCTTGTACAAAGGAGTTGACACTGGTATAATTCACAGCGGCAGCTCTGTTGGCATAGTGGTTAGGAGTTGTACTGCTAGATCAAAGGGACAAGGTTTGAATCCACCAGCAGTTCCATGGGAGAAAGATGGGCAGTCTCCGACCATGTGATTTAATACCTCTAAAAATGCACTGAGGGTCAGCTGTGAGTTGGTTCTGAGTCAATGGCACAGAACAGTAATAATTCACAGACTTTTAAAAAATTTTGTTAGTCATACATACATTTGTTTTTTATGTGTAAATGTATATAGCTCAATGCAATACCATTGTTGTTGTTGTTAAGTGCTGTTGAGTTGTAGACGACTCATAACAACCCTATGAACAAAACTCCTGGATACCTGTATAACTTCCATCCTTTCTCCAGATTCATAGGGTCTCCAGAGGCAAGCTATTATGGAAGTGGATGCCACTCCTGCTTCCAAACTTGTTTTAATTGGGGAGATCCACCAAACACTGTCCACCATGGGTAACCATTCTCATATTTGACACATCATTATCACAGTGTTCAGCTTCACAGCAACCACGAGTTAACCTCTGTACAACAGTGGACATACCACACCATGATAATTTTCTTATTTCTGAGTAGTCACATAAATTGGATATTCCCATACACATATTTTTGAGATTGACTTTTTTCTCTAAGTATAATTTTGTTATAGCTTATCTAGTTTGTTGTATATATTAATATTCTTTTTCTCTCTCATTGCTGTGAGTTAAAAGCAACTCATAACCAACCCTCTGCTGGGCTTCCAAGACCTTAAATGGTCCAAGAAAAAAGTTGTCTGTCATTCTTCCATCTTTTTTCTGAATAGCCATTGCTGGATTAGAACCCTTGAGCACAACTCACCTTGAACTACATCCCTAGAGCCTCATTTTTATGAATACATTTTTTTTCCTAAATTGCTAAGCAGTAACCTACAATCTTTTCACCTTTTGAAGGATATTTGGTGCCTAGTTTCTGTAACTGTTGTGAATAAAGCTGCTTTGAATATTTGGAAACAAGTTGCTGAATATAAAGAAATTTTAACTCTGAGAAAAATGGTCTCGAATGTAATTAATAAATTGTATAATTACATTCATTTTAGTTTTCAGTGGAACTGACAAAATGTTGCCCAAAGTGGTTGTACTATTTTACAATTCCTCTAGCAATCTTGAGTGGTCCAGACTCCCCACATCCTTGCCAAAATTTGTGATATTTGTGATATTGGAAATATTTATTAGCAAGGTCGGTTTTCTAAGATTTCTGTAATATGGAATGTTTATTTTTACCCAAATTTATTTGAACAGAGAACTTTTTGTCAATTGGTTTACTGGTTTTGTTTCCTTTTTTTTTTTTTTTTTCCACTTTCTCCCCTATTTTCTTTTAAGGCATAGTTTGAGAAATGCTTAACTACTCGATTGCTATAATGGGCAATTTACTAAACATAGCATGCATTTCAACTTAATTGAAAGAAGATAAGGTGGGGGTGAATCCCCCACCTCCATTCATAATTACGTACAATGTTAGTGACAGCAGTGGTACTATGAGCTTGTTGTTGTTATTGTTAAGTGCCAATGAGTCCCAGGCGACTAACAGCGACCTTATGAAGGAGTGTCCTTGACGCTTGGGTGCCTTTACTATGAGCTTAGAAACCTCTTAAGGTTTTTACTGACTGAGCTACTTACTTTAGACAATTACACTTAATTAGGGCTATTGTGATTGAGCATATTTGTCTTACTTTCCCTGAAGGTGAGACATTATTTTCTGTAGAGATGTTCTGCTAAAACAGAAACCGTCTTTAAGGAGCAAATTTTTCTTACCCTCCCTTGCCTTTGGTATGACTCATTCAGCTCTGGCTGTTTGCATCCTACATAATACACATAACTTTCAATTAAGCTACCTACACTATATAATGTGTTTCTAATTGAAATGAACAACTCTTGTGTTCCAGGTGTCTGGAGTAGATCTGCAGAATGCCTCACATGGAGAAGCTGTGGAAGCCATTAAGAACGCAGGGAATCCTGTGGTGTTTGTTGTACAGAGCTTGTCACCTACTCCAAGAGTAAGTAGTTGTCCTTATTCAGGCATGCTCTGGACCTAAAGGCCAAGGTTTGGCCTGTAAGTAGTTTCCCATATATTTTCGATGTTGCTAAGTTATGCTGTTACATAGAAAAAGTGCTAGATTCAGAAAAATTTGTGTATTAACACCAATTTTCTTTTTCTATTCTCTAGCTTTGGTTTCTTACTCAAATTTGCTGTAGAATGGTATAAGTCAGAGGCAGGGAGGTCAAACAGACCCTTTTTTCAACTCTTTAATTTCCTAGTTGCAAGCTTTATTAAGTAGAGGCTACATACATGTAGAGGGTTAAGCATGAAAATCCTGCTAAAGGTATTATAAAATATTGAATGTATTTCTTAAAGCACTTAATTATGAACATAGAAATACCTAATGTAAAAAATAAAATAGTAAGATAGCATCCAATCCTATATTTTTTGTTTTAAATTAATTATGTCTTTGGTGTGTTACTGGACCTCAGATAGCAATATGCCAGTGACAGTCTCTGTATTTTATATTACAGTGAGCAGCAAAAACATCAACCATATATTCTAACGGGAAGCACTATTTCTTTTTCTTCACTTTATTATAGAGGACAGCTGTTTAAAACATAGTTATATGTGGACCATTAGAAAAAGTTTGCACATTTGAAAATGTTTCCATTTTTAGGTATTCATGCACTTGTTTTCAACTCACTATAAGTAAGGGCAAACTGGTAAGATTATTTATGTGACAATCGGGACAAACAATTGGTTGATAGCCCTATGAGTGGGGGGCCCTTGGGGTGTTCTTGTGACCTGTGGCACCCACACCACTTTGGAAACTGCTAGGTTGAATGCGTTGCAGTTCATTGTCTTCCAGTTTTAATAGTACATTTTATAATATCAAGATGAATTGAGAAGAGTGAGCAGAATAATAAAGTCATTTGATTTTCATACAATTTGAAATTCAAGAACATTTTTGGAATCCAGTCTTAACTCTTGATAATACTGAGAATGCAATTACACCATTACTTTTATTTCTGGAAACTGAGTTCAGTGGTAAAATTAGCCAGATTATTCCTTGCCAAATGATATTTTCAAAGAAATAATTTTGATTACAGTGAAGCAAGTAAATGATACATTTATGTTGCCATCTGTGAATGCCCTTGCTGAGAAATATTCAAGCATTTAAGTAGGTTATAAAGTCATCCAAAACCAGGCAAGCTTTTTGTCCAGTCTTGGCCGGTTAACTCAAGTGGAAATTTTTGCTTCAGTGACATAAAGTGTTCAATTTCTTTTAACTGTTTTTGGGAGGTTTTTTAAATTTAGTGGGTTTTTTATTATTATTAATTTTAATGAAAATTTATAGACTTTGGATTTCCATTCCTTCATTGTTGCACTTTTCTCCCTACTTCCAACCCCCCCCCCCACCTCCCCAGTCTCTGTTCTCTTTGAAAAGTAAGAGAAAAATTCTTTCATTGTTATACAATCAATCCCTCCCTCCAAGTTCACTCTACCATGCAACCTTCATTCTGGACTCCTGTCATGACAATAATACCTAATCATATATCCTTTTGTTGGGTCAAATGATATTTCTGTTTGCAACTTTTTGAGAAAGTGCCATACTGTCTTCCATAGTGGTTGCACCATTTCACACTCACTAACAATGATGGGCATAGGATATGAACAGACACTTCACCAAAGAAGACATTCAGATGGCACACAAAGACATGAAAAATTGGTCAACATCTCTAGCTCTAAGAGAGATGCAAATCAGAACAACTATGAGATATCATCATCCCAGTAGGAATAGCAAAATTAAACAAAACAGCAAATAACAAATGCTGGTGAGGTTGTGGAGAAACTAGGACCTTTACATTTAATTTTTAAAAATTTTTGTTACATATTTTTATTGGTTTGCATATAATCATTCATGTACATTGTGTTTCATGCAGTCTTTCATCACAGAATTTTGTTTATGTTTATTGTGTTTTTTTCTGTCCTGCAGTCATTTTACTAATAATTTCATTTGTGAAAAGGTAAAAGCCAGCTACTTTATGCCTCATGCCGTAATATCTCCACTTTAGATGGCGAATTTCTGCTTTTCCTTTTCCTATCAAACCAATTACTCTGAGGGCACAAACTTGTCCCTTTTACTGAAGAGTCTATTCCATTTAGAAACTTTGAGCATCTAGATCCACAAACAAAATCCAGTCCAGAGTATGCCATCAGGTTGCAGCAATCAACAGTAGCCCATCTTATGGATCCTCTTCTCATTACCTGGTTCAGTTCTGGTTAACTCATTCCTAGCCATCTGTCACTCAGTCCAAATGGGCATCAGCCACCACCCAGGAATCCCCATTTCCGCCTGTGGTCCAGGCAGATTGATCCGTTCACTCAGCCTCAGCCTCCACATGGGGCCAAGTCAGTAAGGATTCTTTTTTGGTTACACATACATCTATGTGTGCTAGGTAGACTGTGCTGAAGGCGCACATCTATCTCTTTATTGTTGTATGCCTCCTACATCCACACAAGTGGATCCAGTTGATTGCTACGAGTGAGCATACTTGCCAGCTCCCTTTTCTTTAAGTTCTGTAAGTGAACTCTGTTGGGCACCAATCTTACCCTCCCTCAGAAGCCAGACAGCTCACTCTAGTTTTATAAAGACAATCTCTTTTTTCCCCCCTTCTCTCTCTTCCTGCTTGTTTTTCTTTCAGATATGAATCTCTTCTATTAAAAGTCCAAAGTGGGTCTCCAAATCCCCTGAAATGCAAATCTTCTCAGAGTACTGGATGGGACTTAATCTTTCCCCTAAACTAAGCCTCAGCATCCACTATGAAATGCAACTTTCAACAAACTTATCTTCAGGGCAGATCTTCCCTTGTAGTACTTCTAATCAAGAACTGGCTACAGGTGAAATTGCAGGTTTTCTAAATCTGTACTATCCAATGTTCATTTATATCATTCATCCATCCCACCATATGCAAAATTAATTTCCATATAACCAACCATACACACTGTTCTTCATACATGCATATTGTTTCCCATATCATCTCTCATATATACTGTGCTTCATACAAGTAACTACCACCTATGTATTATACCCCATCCCTCCTAATCCCTCTGAATCCCCCCACTCTCTCCTCCCCGTCAAACTCCTCCCTCACAGTGATCATCTCCCCTTCCCCCTTTTCTACACTCCCTTTGAGTGTTTCTAATTAATCCCTTTTCCACAGTAAAGTCCTTAATCAGTTTTTGTTCTCATGCAACTGAGGTAAATTCTCCCATTTTACATGATATTTTACAGAATTGTTGTTCCTTAGTGCTGCATACTGTATTGCATTGTGTAACTGTATCACAACTTCTCAATCCATACATTTGTTGAATGCCAGAATCAAGCCATTTCTTCTTTATCTAGTATAACAGATTCCATGTTGTGTATTTGGTTTATCAAATGCTGGCTTTTTGTGCTTCTAGCCAACTGAGCATACTCAGTTCATCACTTGTTCCATTTTTCACCTTTGTGATTCCTTTTGAATGAGGCAATGAAAGGAATCAGGTTCATATTTTTACAAAATTCCATGCTCTTCCCTGGCATGTTGCAATACTGACCATGGTAGGAATAGCAAATATAGGCACTGCTTTTTCATTTCTATACAAAGGTATGTAGATTTTGAAATTTTCCTTCAGATCAAAGAAATATAATTTCCTACTACCATGCTCATGCAAGGCCTCATCCTTGGAGGTGCTTCAGTCACACTTGCAGTGTGAAAATTCTTATCCAACCATGAATTGATTGGTGATGTTACTATCTACTTTTGTCAGCTACTTTAAGATTATTTTAATATATTCCACTTTTAAGCTTTTTCTGAATTATCAGCTGTAATTTTTTATCATGCTTTATTTCCACTTTGCTATACTTGGCAGATATTCATTTAAGTACAAGACCCCTGATTTACATTGTATTTTTAGAAAATGTTTTGTGGGAAGGTAATTTTTCTGTTAGTAGTATCACTGTATTTCACATTACCATCATACAGTTATTTCATCATAAAAAACAAACCTTCTTGAACTTGGCATCATTTCTTCAGCTCGTTAAATGAATTTAATCATTAATTGTTTATCAAAAGTTATCTCTTTTTATGTATCCTAGTTGTGTTTTCTTTATACTTTTGTTTAATAGTGACGTCTAAAGCTTTTCAACATAGACACATTTTACATATTTACCTTATGAGTATAGTTTTTATTTCCAACATAAATATATTTTATCTATTCTTAGATAACCAAGAGTTTTTCTTGGTGAGATTTTTGTCTTTTGGTGAGACTTTTTGTCTTCCAACTTTTGCTGTGTGCACAGAATCCTCTCTGGCCGGTGTTTGGGCCTTGTTCTCTTTCACATAAAGTTATTACAAACCAAAGCCAACTTAACGAGAACCGACAAATATGATTGTATGCCTTAAATGGTACTTCTGTTGTCTTTACTATTTAGAAGAAATTGCAAATTAAGTTTTAAACAATTTAATAAAACTTTTTTTTTTTA